ATATATATATATATATATAATATATATATATATACATAATATACATATATATATAATATATATAATATATATATATATATATATATATATATATATATATATATATTATATATATATATATATAATATATTATATATATATATTATAATATATATATATATATATATATATATAATATATATATATATATATATTATATATATATATATATATATATAATATATATATTATATATATATATATAAATATATATATATATATATATATATATATATATATAATATATATATATATAATATATTATATTATATATTATTATATAAATAAATATATATATAATATATATATATATATAATATATATAATATACTATATATATATATATATATATATATATATATTATATATATATATATATATATATATGTATATATATGTATATATATATAAATATATATATATATATATATATTTCTATTAGATATTTGAAAACTTGCAAAAATACCACCTGAGTTACAAAAAAAGATAAAGTAAAAGTATATCTGAAAAATGATTGGTGCCAAGGATTAACCCCTAAAGTCTAGCTAATGAGAATATCCCTTCACATGCCATCACAGAAAAATTTGGGTGTGGGCTGGGGTGACGCAAACTTGCTGATATGAGAATTTCTGCTGAATGTCAGTGTGAAAGGAATAACTCACCACAAGTGCAAAAAGGTCTTGGAGGGTGATTGGATTCATTTGGAATTTGAGTAGGGGCTTTAACATTATTTCCTTCTATAAATGAGGGTAGAATGTACTGGCCATGAGCCATGACTGGAAGAGCACCAGCTCCACTGAGGACACTATTTCCATGCTCAGGATCCTATTCCTGCACAGTTTCAGGATATTACCATCTGGATAAAGCAAATCAAATAACAAAGATAAACAATGGAAAATGGCAAAAAAGCTAAAAACTCCTATGCAGAAAGAGAAAATAACAGGGAGCATGGAGTCTTGTGTGCTGGCCTAGAAGCCTTGCACCCAGCAGTGGCCACCCAAGAAAGCCTAATGCCCTTATTTTGGGCCACATGATAGGAGTGAAGCATCCTGATCTAATAGGTTAACATTACACTTGTCATTCCCTAAAACTAAAACATTTAGCTAAAACATTAATTCATTGGCACTCACTCTGCATTACTTCCTGCTGACAGTCACCACAGGGCCCAGAATGACATAGCTTTTCACAAGTGTGGCCCCCACAGTTCAGCACCTTCCCACACACTCCCTCACAAACAAAGGGCTCCGTGATGCTACAGCGCACGTCTTGACTTTTGGCTCCACAAGGACAGGTTCTTTAAAGGGTATAAGAAGGCAATCATAATTATGAAAAAAAATTATATTCATCTTTATTATCTTTATGAAAAAAGAAAAAAAAAAAAAAAGGAATCAAAATGCACACTATATGCCAACATTAGCAATAATAAAATATCCAAAAGAATCAAATAAAAATAAATTCACACTATATGCCAACATTAGCAATACTAAAATATCCAAAAGAACACAAATGAACTACTAACTTCTTAACATATGCTGTGCAAGGAGGGCATGGTCCTGGATGGCATAGAATATTGCACTTATGATTACACCAGTCAATCTTCCTTCCTCGACCACACACCTCTCCACATGAATGTGGTGTGTCACGTCGGTTCCACTCTGGTTCACGTAATTTGCCACAAAAACAGAGGTAGGCATTTGGAACTTTTGGCGTGGCTGCTTGGCAGGCTGGACACCTCCAGCCAGAGTCTATTGGAATAAAGGGATGATGTTTGAGTAAATCTAATTTCATAATCAAGGAAGAGAAAGAATTAGGCAAAGGAGGTTATATTTTCTACTGCCATGTATATTCATTTTGGAAACATCTTACTACTTATATTCCTGTATTCCTAATTTGATAACTGGGTATTTAATTTACAAGAATGTTATTCAAGAGTTTCTGCTGTTTTATAACATAAATATTTAGCTTTATAATTTTAACTTTTTGTTGGAGCTACACATTAAAGAATAACTTTTCTAATTCCAAACAATGTTCTGTCAATCCATCTCTCACCTCCACTAGAACTTTTTGCCCATTTCTTTATGCATCCTAAATGGAAGCAGTTGTAACAGTTGACACAGGACCATATAGCGTGGTGCTGCTTGATGCGGTCACAACAGACCATGCACTCATACACTCCCTTCATCAGCTGCTCCATGAGTCTGTCTCTCTGGGTCTGCTCATCCTCCTTGCCTGAACTTGTTATGCTGGGTGTTGCCACTGGGCTGCTCTCCTTCTCTGCCTTCTGTTCATTCTTCACTGGTGCAGGGGCACTCTCCCTCCCTGGCCTTTCACTCTGCTCACTGCCTCCCCATAGTTTTCTCCCATTGTCATTTCTGCCTCTGCCCCTGCCTCTTCCTGGCTTTGGACCCTGAGTTGAGGCACTTTCTTCCCTCTCTCCCACCTCTCCATCAAACCCCTGCCCTTCTCCATTGTTGTTCTTACGTCCATTTCTTCCACGGCCAAAGTTCTTCTCTTGCCTAAGAGGCCTTTCTTGATCATTAGGTTGATCATAAACATTACTATAACCTCCATTATAAGTCCTCCCATCCTCAGTTCGAACCTGCCTGTTCTTCCATTCCTTCCCTTGCTTTTCCTCTTCAGAATTGTTTCTCTGCTGTCTCTTGTCAACTCCGCCATGACTGCCACCCCAATCATATCTCCCTCGACCACCTCTAGATCTTCTGTCATTGTTATCCAATTCCTTTGTGGGAGGGTTATCTGTACGGCCAAGACTCATCCTCTGCATAAATGCTGCAGTCTCAGCCAGGGCACTTTCCCTATCCCGTTTCTTCTGGTCCTGGTCATATGCAGCTCCTCGAGGTTCATACCAGGTGTAAGGCATGTTTGGCCCTTGACTCAGCCTGTCTGTACCATAGTTTCGCCTTCCTCCTCTTCTTCCCTTTCCTCCCCTTCCCCGATTCATCCCCTTATTCTTCACACCTCCTTCACTTGCAATTCCATTGATAATACCTTCACAATCATTACCTTGGGGACTGACTTTGGCTTCACCTCCAAAGGCTTCATTTTCAATTGCATTTGGATTCCGGGGTAACTCTTTTGTAAAGTTTCCTACTGTATTCCCTGATTTGTTGTTACCAGAGTAAGTCCTGTTCTGAAAACTTGAGTTATTTTGAGGTGCATTTGCATTGACAACATTTCCAACAGAACCATCACTAGTCACTGGTGCACTTTTACCTATTCCTTTTGAAACATTAACTGTACTACTGCCAGATGCTGCCATTGTTTGACTACCACTTGAAAGCATGCTTTGCCCCACTGGCAAAGACCAATTCTGGTCTGTTTTTCCCGAATTATACCTAACATTTGACTTTGGAGGTGGGCCTCTTCTTACACTATGAGATACAGAATTATACTGCCTTGTATTTGATTGCAAGTCCATCCCTGCCACCTGCGTTGCATTGTTTACGATGTATGTCTGGTAGTTTTCATCACACATCATTCTAGTTCCTGGATTACTAGGTATCACAAAATTACCTTCATACTGCAAGTTCCCTGGATACTGATTCCCCTGCAAGTGGCCATTCCCTTCAAAATGACCATTGCCTTGGAAGTGTGCATTATTCTGGTAGTGATTGTAGCTTGGGTACTGGCTGTTGGCCTGAAACTGGCTATTATTCTGGAACTGGTTATCTCCTTGGTAGTGTCCACTCCCCTGAAACTGGGAATTGTCTTGGCAGAGTACATTACCCTGGAAGTGTGAGATGGGCATCACCCTGGGGTATGACTGAACAAACATGTCTTGGTACCCAGCTTGGAATGGTGGTACCTGCATGGGCTGGTACGTCATGGGTGATGGAAAGTTTGTGCTGTATGCAGAGCCTCTTCCCGGCTGGCTCATTCCTCCGCTGTTCCGGCCAGCTTCTGCCATTCTGCAACTCTGAAAATGAAGGTAGTAACTTTAGGATAGCTTATCTTTTTGCATGGCAAATTACATGTATATAAAAATACAGACAGAGACATTGACAAATACATGTCTTTGCATTCAGAATAAGCTTCATATAATATATTTACATTCAATGATATTTCAAGTTTTCCTTTATTACTTTTTGGATATCCCAAAAAATTTGGCAGCAGCAATAAATATGAAATATTGTCAAATGATTGCCTTAGTCTCCATGCCTTTAGCTTCTTGATGAAGATCAACGTATCTCTACTACACATATTCTGGTAAATTAGAACTTGGACTGGAAGTGTAAAAGCTCTTTCTTGCCAAAAAGTACATGAGAGATGATGGTCTTTGCTGGAGCTTTAGTAGACATAAACTGCAGCAATCAGTATATCACCTGGTAGTGATTACAATGTAGGTCACTAGTGGACATAACATTGTCTTATATTTTCAAACCAAGGCTGAGAATAACAATTACCCCATTAATGCTGGTATATTTTGAAGCCGAAAATAAAAAATTCTGGGCGGCTATAAAATCGGCGGGAGGAGCTTCCCCGGAGTCTGTCCACTTGCCAGCTGCGGCCCGCTGCTGTGTCAGAGCAAAAACCCCTATACAGCGTCACACTGGCGGGATGCCCGGCAATGTTTATTTTTTCAGGTGTCTCATATGTGGGACACCCGTCGTTATTGGGTTAAGAGAGAATCATATTGAGAGTACTAGCACAGGAGGGGTCGTGTTTGTTGCCACCTGCTACTTTGTCCACAACAGCCAAGACATGTACATCCATGCCACCCAGTGGGAAGTGGTTATTAATAAAAAAAGATAAAAATAGGAGAAAATAAGGAACAAAGTCTAATACCTTCTCTAGAAGAATCCTCTATTACACCAGCCTGGCCTGTCTTCAAAGCCACGGGTAACCAACAACAGAATTAATCCGAAGATGACAAGCTCTTTACAAAATTAAGACAAAGAGGTCCATGACCTTCGTGTCCTATCACACATACAAGTTAACAATTTTGCATACCACTCAGGTGGAGGGTGCACCAGCCTCTTATAATAAAGCTTAAAAGGTGAAAGCCATCTGAATGTTAAATAATGGCCAAGTAACTTGCATAATCTATGAAAATCACCAGCCCCTTATTGTGCTTGATCCCACAATCTCCCTTGTGCACCTTCCGCACTCCCCGTCTGCTGAAGCAGGAGGTTCAATTTTGGGCATGTGTTCAAGATTTCTCTTCTGCCATATGGATAACCACATGAACTTGTTACCTCATACACCATAAATTCAGTAAAATAATCAATAAATCTATACGAGCAATCACAGGTCACCATGTATTGGATAATGAATACATATGCAGCCACCTTTAGAAACATAAAATGGAAAATGACATACTTTAATAAGTCAAAAGCACCCTCCCTGATTTTTCCTGCAGCCAAAGCAATAATCTCCGTTTTTGGCCCATTGCCAAACTGTCAAAATGAGCATGACCACAACCACAAATATGCTGAAAAAGAGAAAGAATAAATATGAAACACATAACTTCCCAGAAAATAGACATAATACCGGATTACCTCAACCTTTTCTCTAGCGCCTCTCACACTTCACACGTGATCTACACTGCCACACTCACACCCTTACACACTTATAGGTTCGACCCTGTTGCGCCACGACCTGTAAGAGTGACTAGAGCGAGGAAGAAAAAAGGCTGAGATAGCGAAACCCAGAGGGAAAATAGGCTCAAATCCTTGCACTTTTCTTACCAACTTTCTCGCCCTCTCTAGCTCGCTAAAAGCACTAAGGGCTCTTGCATGGCCACGGTCATCTTGTCTAGCTTGCGGAGGGGATTCCACACACTCACTTTGAAGACTCAAGGTTGAACGGGAGAAGACACAATGACTTTTTTAATCTTTAATGATAATTTCCTCGGCCTCAACACGGGCTGAACGGAGTTGCCAGATGCACGATGTATGATATCCTTGATATGTGTCATTTCTTTCCTATTTCAAATCGTTTTATACTTAATTTTGGAGGTTTTTAGGGCTTTCGTGTTATTTAGATTTGTCTAGTAAAAATAATAACTATCATGGGATATGAGTTAGTTTCATTTTTTTCTATGAAAGGAGGTTTTGGTTTCTTTAATGCGAATGCTTTCATGTGTTTTGAAGCCTTTTTTTCAATGTGTGTTGGTGATTGCTTTATGATGATTCTATAATGAAAATGGTAGAGTCGATTACTAGATGTATAAGGATGGCGTAATGGTTACAGATATCTCGAGTATCATAAATACACGGGGATACAAAATCTAATGAAATATTTGAAAATGTTAATTCTGACAAGTGTAAATCACATCAAACAATCGTTCTAAATCATTTGTCCAATCCTTCCTCTCAGTTGTGCCAATCATGATTAGACAACTGATTTCCTGAAAAATAACTATCTTTTACTGGAGACCAAAAACATTCGAAACAAATTTTAATTAAACTACTACGCAAAAGAAAACTTAAAATCATTCAGTAAAATAGCATATGCAAATGATACCAGCCTGAAGTAGATACACTGTGGTAACTTATTCGATGAAAGAGCTTTTGAGATATTTTTGACGCCAACTCGAATGCACAGTGTTTACGGTGTGCATGGAAAGCGTGCTAAGGCTTTATGTTCTCTTCACCCATTCGCCACTCAACTAACAAATTATATGTAAAGATGTGTATGGGGAAAAGGCAAAATCGTAATCAAGATACGCGGGAGACTTAGTATTTTCTGCTATAAGCAGATATTCTCTCATTATAGCGAGAAGACTGCTGTCTAGCTGCTTAATTTTCCGTTTAATCTTGTTTCTCATATTAATAAATTTTCAAAATGTCCGTGGTTATCGAGACGACGATTGGCGACATAACCGTGGATTTGTTCACGGAAGAGAGACCCAGAAGTAGGTGGTTTCAGAATTGTAGTTCTGTATAATATATTTTGTAGGTATGAGATTGGATTGATTAATGACCAGTACCGGTAGCTGGCTTATGGTAACAAATCTGTAGTCAGCAGTTCTAGTAATTTCATATAGTGTAATTTTACACTGTTTCAAAGTTGCTGCCTACCACCAGCTGATTCTACAAGAGAGCTGTGGACTTGCTTTAGTGTCTTAGAAAATTAGAAGACTAATGCTGCGTTCGGAACTCCTTGTCTTGCTCGTCCAGACAACTTGTCCAGAGCCAGCAGGACAAATGGGCTCCATTCGGAACCTCCAAGACCCAGAATGCAACCGGCTCGAATGTAAACATTCACTTTTGTATCATACCAATGTCTTTATTTTACACGCTGCACCAGACTGTAGAGGTTTGTCTGCATGAGAATGCGTTCCCTTTACAGAAAATATTTGGTTAAATTCTGTCTGCGCCAATGTAGTTCTCGGGTAACTTTCCACGCAAGCTTAGTTCTTTTTTAGTTCATCTTCCGCGCATAATATTCCTTTAATCTTTCCGCGCTCTTGTTTCATCATCCATCCACAGATCCATCTGCGCAAATGTACACTAAATGATGTTTTCTGCACATGAAAAAATATAATATTCCCCAAGCAAGAAAAATACTCTACAGTTTGGATGCTGCATAGGTTTTATAACTACTTTGATGCGTATTTAACTTGCCTGCAAGTGACAAACACAAAAAATAAATATATACATATATCCTTTGAGAACATTAATAAAGGGCCATAAAATTACCCATCAATATCTTGTGATTTCCTGCAACTGTCAACGTTTACATATAAAAGCTATTGTGACATCATCTCGTCCTGTTCACCCACCTTCACAGGAGGACCAGCTGGACAAGATGGACAACTTTTAGATATAGTATAAGTTGTAGAGGTTCCGAACAGTCAAAATATCTCGTCCAACTAATCTGGACGAGCAGGACGAGCAGTTTTGGACGCAGCATAAGAGATTAAGGGGACCGTCCCTGAGAATGGCCACCTTTCCCTACTCTATACATCATAAAAAAATATCGGTTAGAGATAACTGATTGATTCTTTTTGCATGCTATAGAGCAAAGAATTGCGCTTCGTTATATATATAAATTTTAACTTTGCTCCCCCATTGGGGGGGGCACCCCCCAAAAAGTTGAAAAAAATCGCTATTTTTTTTGGTATGTCTTCGGTACTTCCCAACTATCAGAGCTCTTTACAGAATATTCCCCCAAAAATGCTAGTGTTAGATCAACTCTAGCCTATAGCCATGTAAAAGGCCGAATTTTGAATTTCCTTTTTTTTTTTGCGGGGGACAGCTTGACATAGAGAACTATTTTTGAATGCGTTTTTCAGCATTAAAATATTATTATTTTTTGATTAAGGCAAAAATTCAAAAATCGGCCTTTTACATGGCTATGGGACGCCGAGGCTCTAGTGAAAGCAACAAACTGCATTTGGATCGCATGAAAATTACGTGAGTTGGGAAGTACCGAAGCTTCATAAAAAAATAGCCGAGCTACGGCGTTTTGTATTTGGCACCTTGCCAAAGTTCGTTATCTCTGTTATTTTTCTCTGAATCTAATGATATTATATATCAAAAAAACGCTTATTTAGTGTACTTTGCAATGCAATGATTACCAAGACAATAGGAATTTTCATGTTTAATAGGGACGCTATTCTGTAAAGGTATGTCACTTTTTTTTTTTTTTTTTTTTTCGTTGTTCATTAAAGTTGATATTTTCGTGTGAAAAGCTTAATAAATGCATTTTACCATAGAGACAACTAATCTAAACCAGATAAAAACCTTTTTTTAAAAAAATATTTTTTTTATTTTCCATTTTATTTTTTATTTATTTTTTATTTTTGAAGAAATGGGGAACTGTGGATGGCAACATTAGTACAAAATCATTCTAATTATAAAGTCCTGGCATGAATACAACATGGTGGTTCAATTTTGAGAATTTCAAAAGCATATGAATTTAGTACATTGAATTCGAGAAACTTACGAAAGTCGTTGAATATTCCCCATGCCTCACACAGGGGGGGGGGAGGGGAGATGGTCACTGGGTGTTTATAATTTTCGAGGAGGATCATATGTACGTGAACGCACGCACATAAAGTTAAAAAGATTAATCATCATCATTTAGTAGGCCTACATTGACTTTCATATCTAAATAATAAAATTTATTAGTTATCCTCTCATACCCATTTTCTTTGATAATTGTCAATATTAACAGATTGCAAGGGAGAACAAGTGTAAAGTTTATGATTAGCCATTTGCACCCATTATCTTTACTAAGAAGTGCATAAAATCATGCAGATGCCTATGTGTTGTGGGATATTTGCCAATTTATGGTGCCTAAGACTTACGGTAACGTCTAAACATATTCATTTTTATCGGGAACGCACGAAACGGATGCGATAGTTTTTGAACGCCAGACGAAGACTACGCATACAACCGAGCTCAAAATTCCATATAGTTTTTATTTCAGAGCAGGTATTACTGAGTACTATCATCTTCAACATGAAATAATCTGTATCTCGCTTATACATCCGAAGTTTAAAAATCCGACATTTAGGTAACATTCGTATTGAATTGGTCTTTACAACGGTAACTACCAATTTCAAATCAATTCAAACTGCCCCCTGCTGTGATGTACCGACCGTTGAGCGAAATGTAACGGAAATATTTCAATCCTTCCTTATAAGGCTATTTTTAAACATTAGTGCTTCGTATGTGATATACGTATATATTACCACGTAAACTAAAACATATTACCAGGGAGTCTCGATCAAAGCATATTTCGTGTGTAAAAGGACACAAAACATACATTTTTTTTAGATATATTTCACAAAATATTTCGTCATAAATCACGGTGATATAATTTTTTCCTGATATTGGTATAAAAGTGTTCCTTGAACATTCACGAACTCATATCTATGCGCAATGTCATAATTAAATGCCTTATGCACGATTGCCGCAAGCAAAAGTCCACATAGGTGTACCTGGGCGCTCAATAGCGACGTACCTCTCCGGGTGCTGAGGGACTCGCACGCCGGCTGCAAGACAACGAGCCATAGCAGGCGGTTAATACTCGTTTGGTAGTTTCCTCATCCATGTACCTATACTATACGCTAACTATCTTAATTTAACCCCCTCCTCCCCCCTCTCTCAGGGACGGTCCCCTTAAGTCCCCAATTCCACATCACAAAATCTATTCAACAAGTTGCTGTGTGCCCAGTCACAACACCCCAGAAAAATATTGTCTTCAGTTTTGCATGCACACCGCAAGATAGAAGGGATTCTCAAGAGTACCAAGAGGAGTTATATGATTAGTGCTTACCTTGTTCTTTTTTCCTTTATTTGTGGTGTTACCATTTGTGTCTGCAGATTATTTCTTGCAGTGTCGACTGTGACATTTTGTCCTGTACAAGAATATTATCTTCGGTTTGCGTTCGTGCATCCATACCATAAACATTAACATTCTGATCTTTAATAATGTATATGTTGTAAAGAACAAGTTCAGTTTTAAGAGATAGGATTTTTTTCCCTACTTAGTGTAGACCTTTCCAATAGTAATGAAAAATAATCAATGGATTGCTTATGATGTTACCTGGCCATTTATAGTTTTAGTCAGCAGCAACCAGAAGCTTCAATAATGTAGACTATGGAAATTGTTAGGTAAAGTTGAAAGAATATACACTAATAATCATTATGTTAAAAAACTAAATACTAAAGTAAATACATAGAATGTGTATAAGGCTCGGTACCTATAATCAATTGTGAAAGGAGGGACTTGTACTCCCTTCTGCCATGGCAGAACCTAATCAATCAACCAGGTATTTATAAAAGAAATTATCACAAGCTTCCACTTTGCAAGAGTATGTCACTACACAAGGACATATTTATTCATATTGCTGTGTCTTACTCAGTAGAAGTGTCAAAGACACCAAAGATTCTGTCATGACACTAGTTCACAAAGGGAGTCTGGGCAGAATTGGATCTCATGCCATCTTTACCTATCATTAATGTTACACTAAGATCTTTACAGACTTTCAGTTCACATTCTGGACCTTAGTGGATTCCATACCTGGAGTCTATATCTATTCATATTTGTCTGATTTGTATGATAATTATATTCAGTTTTTTTTTTTCTTTTTATTATTATTATTATTATTATTTCCCTATTTGTCACCTATTATCTTCCTAGATATCAGGGCCATTAGTCAGCAGCCATTAATGAAAATTACTAAAACTCAATACACATCATAGGGTGTCCAACAATACTGATTTCATATGTATTAGGATTATTATTTGGTAGATTTAATTCATAGATTTTGAAAAATAAACATTACTGCCTTGTGCAGCAACCAAATGTAGTTCCTCAAGTTACTGTGATTTTTGAGCTCTGTCGCAAGCCAAGAAACCTCTACCATATACATTCTGGTAAGATTGAGCTTCTTTATCCTGGCAAATTGTTGTTAAATGGAACCAGTCCATACTCAATCCTGCCATCATTAAGGCCCTATCACACTAGCATTTTTTCTGTCAATTTCTTTCTCTGCAAGGATCATCTACAAACTGAACGCCTCCCAGACCAAGATGGTTATGACCGTTTCCATCTGAATAATTTCCGTGTTGATCTTGTGCTATTAATAAATTAGATAAGATGAGTGAAAGTAAACATAAGCTAATATTTTAGAACTTTCATATATACAATATACATCATCATATTTCTTTAAAATAATGTAATATGTATGGGAATATTTGTGTGATTCTCGGGACCTTACTCCGATAGCGTCATATTTGTTTACATGATTTTCATACAAAGTTCATTCAGAAAAGAAAAAAATTGACAGAAAAAGTGCTAAAGTGATAAGGCCTTTAGAGGTTTCTTGACTTTTTTTTACATGGTGTCAGGTGATGTAGTACTTTTTTGGACAAGCACCCAATACCCAAATGTTATTAAAAATGGTATATGAATAAATGTATTTTAAAAACATTAAAATGAAGGTATAGATACAAAAGATATCCTTCTGCAACACTTGCTTTTTAGCATTAACAAGATATTTATTGTTCTAGAATGATGTACCAGAGAAAATGCAGAGCCTTGTATGTATACAGGATGGCAAAGAAACTATTCAAAAGGCTTTAGTAAAGAAGTGGAAAAGTTAGAAGATAAAACAACTTTTGCTATCCTTTTCCCTCACTGTGTACCGCATACCTCAGAATGTGACAGTGTTCATAGGACATAAAGACAATAGACCCATGATAATCTTTTGCCATCGGTAATAACTATACCTAATTATGATGACCCATATATCTTCCTTGAAAGGTTAACTTTAATTTTCTTATTTTCAGCATGCCTGAACTTCCTTAAGCTGTGTAAGATGAAATACTACAACTTACATTTGATCTACAGTGTGGAACGAAATTTTATAGCACAGACAGGAGACCCATCAGCAAGTGGACATGGAGGTATGACTCTTGTTTTTTTTTTTTTGTTTATTGAAAATTGCTTTTGTGCTTATTTACAACTTGGATGTCTATTGATATCTGAATTCTTTAGTAAATATTTCATTTCACAAGATTCTAGTTTCTTTAGAGGACCAGAGTCAGTTACGTGTATATAGTAATATGCATTATGAAAAAAGTTATAGTTTTCCTTGCATGCCCTGTGTATTTATTTGTATCTATTTTCTTATTTATTTATTTATTTGTATATTTTTATAAAATGTTCATTAAACTAATCATCAACTTTACATATTTATTTGATGAACAAATTGGACACTATTGCTTTTACCATGTCTCATGTAGTATGCACACGTGCCGTAGAAACCAAGTGTCATATTTCTTCCTTTATGGATGAATCCCAGTATTTCATATACTTTACAAAGGCTTTTATACAGTTTTATACGACTTAATTTTTTTGGAAAAAAAGTCTTTCCTTTCATTTCTAATATTATTATTTATAATATAATAATAAAAGTAACTAGCATTATCATTAGATGTTAACCCATCAGCGACGGGTAAAAATTTTGTCAAGTTTACGTATACACCGGCTTGTTGGCGCGCACTGGCAGTTTCCCCTGTTTGCGCTCGGCTCGATCGGTAGTTTGCGAGCGACATATAGTACCTAAAAGCTTTTATTTTTCTAAAATTTATAAAAAAAATTTAAATTTTGAAGGTTTACCTTCACTTTAGGTGCCATTGCCTAAAATCTTTACCATATAAATGAAGCCGCTACTAGTGGAGAAAAACAACCTCCGTCCGACGAGCCAGTAGCGCGGGAATGGGCATGGCATGATGCCCCCGGCGTTTGTTCCACAACAGCCATGGCATGTACGTACATGACACCCGGTGCCAATGGGTTAAACCAATTGGTGATGAGTTTGTGCATTCTGCTGTAGTTTTGTTTGGTCGTGTTTGTTTACATTTAGATGGCTTCACAAGCACTTAGTCACCAAGAAGATGGTTATTAGACCTACCTAACCTCGCTTGTTTACAGTTTCCCTCAAATTTCGATGGAAAAAAAATTATATCTGATAGTATCATCATTATTACTGATATTATCATCTTTATAAACATTACTATTATTACATTTAACAATAATAACAATGATGACAATGATAAAAACAAGAACAATAAATAATTAAAACTTTTCAAGTTGCCTTACCAAATTGATTCTTTGGTTTCTAAGCACTTGTGGAGCCATCAGTCTGTAAACAAATTTATACATCAACATCACAGTAGACAGAACATGTATATATGCCCTACTAACATTTTGATAAAGATAATAAGAGAAATAGAAATAAACACTTTTAGCACGAAAAATTCAAAGATCAAGTAAGTCTCAAACTCCTTGGTGGCTAAGGTCTCATGAAGCCATCTATGTGTAAACAAAATTATTCAAACTAAACCACACTAGACAACCCAGTGCCAGTGGGTTAAGAACATCAATACTATTTGAGCATACTATTTATCAATCATAGTTTATCTACCCTTGCAAAATAAAGTTGCAGAATTAGTATAGTGTCTTAACCCACCAGCGACGGGTAAAAATTTTGTCAAGTTTACGTATGCACCGGCTTGTTGGCGCACATACCTGTACTATGTATGAGCACTTGTGAAATTTTATGATATTAGTCTTAAGTCTGATCTTATGTGTTGAATTTATTATCAGATTGAAACATTTTTTCTTGAACTCTAAATCGTGGACAGAAATGGTATGATAGTTTCATTTTGTTAATGTTTTAATTTCCACAGGTTCTTCTGTATTCCAAAAGATGTACGGTGATCAGGCACGGTTTTATGAAGGAGAAAAGTTGCCCATCATGAAACACTCAGGACTAGGCACTGTATCCATGGTTTCATGTGGGAGTCATCTGTAAGTTCATAGTTATTTGATTATGATTTATATTTTTGTATTGTTGATATTTGCTCAGTTTTTATGTTTATTCTATATGAATATGTTGGCTTTATATGTTAATATTCATATATTAATAACCATTCATTGCATAAGTCAGTCATTATATATTGTGCGGAAGATATACTTCTAAAAAGACTATTTTCCTATTTTAGATTTGGCTCCCAGTTTTTCATCACCTTGGGAGAAAACCTGGATTCCTTGGATGCTGAACACCTTGTATTTGGCCAAGTTGTTGAAGGGCTTGAGGTCTTGAATAAGTTAAACCAGTCTCTCACGGATGATAAGAATAGGCCCTATCAGGACATACGCATATCTCACACTGTTGTGTTGGAAGATCCTTATCCTGATCCAGACAGTCTTGAATTTCCAGAGGAATCTCCCAGACTTTCTCAGGATGTCTTTGAGTCTGACTATATTGCAGCAGATGAAGCCATTGATGATAATGAAGGGAAGTCAATGGAAGAAATTCAAGAAGAAATTGCTCAGAGGGAGGCAAAAGCTCGGTCAACCATTTTAGAGATGGTTGGTGACTTGCCGGACTCAGACATGGCTCCACCAGAGAATGTGCTTTTTGTGTGCAAACTAAACCCTGTAACAACATCGGAAGACTTAGAGATTATCTTCAGTAGGTTTGGAAAAATCAATTCATGTGAGTAATACGTGACAGAGTGACAGAAAATTCCTTGCAGTATGCTTTTATAGAATTTGCTGAGACTAAGTCTTGTGAAGATGCCTACTTCAAAATGGACAACGTCCTCATTGACGACCGCAGAATCCATGTTGACTTCAGCCAGTCCGTCTCCAAAATCAAGTGGATGGGCAAGGGGAAAGGTGTACAGATTTTTGACAATAATGGCAAGAAAATGGATGGTGCAAGGGGACAGGCTTTCAACCCAAATACAGATCTCAGGCATGAGGGTAAAGACAGATTCAGGAACCCTGGTAGAGGGAGACTACACTATGACAGTTTTCGAGGCAGGGGAGGAAGGCAGACTGACCGGCACGACCGGGGTTGGGAGAGAGACCAACGGCTGCATCAGAGGCATGAAAGGTGGGAGAAGAATGGCAACAACGAGAACTTTAATCGGGACAGAGAAGCTGGAAGGAAATTCTACCAGAGGGAGCAACACGATAGGGGAATAGAAAGGGAAGAAGCAAGGCTCTCTAACACTAAGAGGAGTCACAGCAGCAATGAAGAAGTGAGTGATGATGGGCCCTCGAGGGAGAAGATGCTGAAGCACCTCAAGAAGTCTCTGAAGAAGAAGAAGAAGAACAGGAAGCATAGCAGCAGCAGTGAAAGCAATAGTGCAGGTGAGGAGAAGAAGAAAAAGAAAAAAAAAAAGAAGAAGAAACACAAGCATAATTCAAGTGAAGATTCAGATTCAGATTCTGAGCCAAGAAAAAAGAGTAAGAAAAGCAAGAAGAAAAAGAAGAAGAAAAAGGAGTCATCACCCTCAAGTGACTCAAATTAATTTTTCTTTCCTTTGCCTTTTTTCATCACATCATAATGTCAAATTTAATTTCAAATATATTTTGAAGATTTTTTTTCAAAGATGATTTTCTTTTACCTTGAAAAGTGTGCAGATTTCTTCACTTAAATATCATTCTTTCCCTTTCTATCCATTCCTTCTCACTATAAAGATATTTAATTGCAGCTATGTACCCACACAATCCTTTGTTCATTGTTGTCGTCGTAGGGGGCTTAGGAGACGGAGACTGTGGCTAAGTGTAAGGAATCACCCCTGCCTTGGACTTCAGCTTTTGGCTCAACTAATTTTGCAGTCTTTTCTTCTTCCTTTTCCTTATTTTCCCCAACTCCTTCCCCTGTCCAATTCCTAAGGTGTGAGAGCCGTGTTGAAAGGATGACAGGGAGCGATGGGCAGTCATTCTTGGTTAATTGCCTATCCCTTGTGGGGACCCTGAGGGGTGGAACTCTTGTCTTCCCCATGTATTTCAGGCTTACAATGGCCAGTAATAATGATTTTGTACCCTTATTAGGGGCATTAAGGCTTGTCCCTTTATCAAATAGCCTCCCTAGATCTAACACCTCTGATTTACCAATTGCTAATTCTCCTTTAGGGTGTTTCATTTGGACAGGCTGAGGGAGGGGGAGTGTGCCCGCGGGTTTGCTGAGGCAATCTCTGATCGTTTCGCAGTGCTTGGCAGTCTGACAGACCCTGTTCTTCTGTGGGATACCTTTAAGCGTGAAACGCTTGATGCAGCTCAAGATACATTTGGTGTACGCCCGAGAGCAGTACAGAATTCCATCTCGCAGGAGACATTGGAAGCCACAGATGCATGTCGTGCGGCTCGTCTGACAGGGGATCGGGAATTGCACCGTTCTCTTGTGCGCAGAACTCGGTCCCTGTTAAGAAAGGACAAGGAACAGTTTATTAGGAGTCTTGCAGAGGAGGTAGAAGGCCATTTCTTAGTAAATGACCTTCGTCCTGCATACCAAGCCCTGAGAAAGCTGAACTCTAAGCCCTCTTCACAGGTGACAGCAGTTCGCTCAGTAAGTGGTCAGATCATTTCAGATCCTGTTGCGGTGCGGGAACGTTGGGCTGAGTATTTTGAGCAGCTGTACCAGGTTGACCCACCAACAGTTAACTTGGATGCGGGTAGTATCGAGATCCCGCTGCCGGATCCACCTATCAGTGAGGACCCTCTCTCCCTAACTGAAGTTAGGGGGGCAATTTCCAAGCTGAAGAGTGGTAAAGCAGCTGGTATCTGCAGCATACCAGCTGAACTGTTAAAGGCTGGTGGTGAACCTATGGCACGGGGGTTACATGGTGTCCTGGCTGCCATCTGGCAGTCCGGTTCCGTTCCTCCTGACCTGTTGAGGGGTGTGGTCATCCCTCTCTGGAAGGGGAAGGGGGACCGTTGGGACTGCAGCAATCACCGAGGCATCACACTGCTCAGTATACCAGGCAAGGTTCTCGCCCACATCCTTCTGAGACGTATCAGAGACCATCTACTGAGGCACCAGAGACTGGAGCAATCCGGATTCACTCCTGGTAAGTCCACAATAGACCGTATCCTCGCGCTTCGAGTCATTGTAGAGCGCCGTCGTGAGTTCGGACGTGGGCTGCTTGCAGCCTACATCGACCTCAAGAAGGTGTTCGATACGGTGCATCGGGAGTCACTTTGGGAGATCCTGAGGCTGAGAGGAATACCAACAAGGATTATTGGACTAATAGCAAGCCTGTATACTGGTACTGAAAGTGCTGTAAAGTGTGGTGGGGGGCCTGTCGAGCTTCTTTCCTGTTAGTTCAGGAGTGAGGAAAGGCTGTGTCCTTGCACCAACTCTTTTCAACACTTGCATGGACTGGATACTGGGCAGAGCTACTGTTCAAAGTCATTGTGGGGCAACGCTGGGTAATATCAAGGTTACAGACCTTGACTTTGCTGATGACGTTGCCATTCTATCTGAGTCTTTGGAAACCCTAGTGGCGGCTCTCGATGCATTTAGCAATGAAGCGAAGCCCCTGGGTCTAGAGGTCTCCTGGACCAAGACCAAGGTCCAGGAATTTGGGGACTTGTTAGGAGAACCTGTTCAGTCGGTACGTGCTTGCGGCGAGGACATTGAAGTCACAGAGAGCTTTACATACCTTGGTAGTGTAGTTCATAACTCTGGGTTGTCAGACCATGAAATCAGCAGACGGATTGGCCTGGCAGCAGGGGTCATGAACTCTCTCAACAAGTGTATTTGGAGATGTCGGTACCTGTGCAGAAGGACCAAGCTACGGGTTTTCAAGGCCCTGATAATGCCAGTTTTGCTATACGGTAGCGAAACCTGGACATTGTCCTGAACCTTGGAGGCTCGTCTTGAAGCCTTTTGTAATAGGTCCTTGCGCCAGATCATGGGGTACTGTTGGCGGGACCATGTGTCCAACCAACGGTTGCACCGTGAGACTGGCACAAGACCTGTTACCTGCACAATCCGTGATCGCCAACTCAGGCTATACGGCCACCTGGCTCGCTTTCCTCAGGATGATCCTGCCCATCAGGTCATCTCTGTTCGAGACAACCCTGGGTGGAGGAGGCCTGTGGGACGACCGAGGAAGTCATGGCTTGGGCAGATCGACCAAACCTGCCGTGAAGAACTAGAGATGGGCCGAGTCCCTGCCTGGCGTCTAGCCATGAGGGATCCTCGTAGGTGGAAGCGAAGGGTGGATGCGGCTATGCGCCCCCGTCGGCGTCAGCCCCCTTGATGATGATGATGATAACTCTCCTTTGATCACTTCGACTACTGCTACTACACCCAAGTAATAATTCAACCTCCAAAAGACAGCTCTCCCTCAACCCCAGTATTCGTAACCCCATCTGCACAATTGTTTCCATGTCTTACCTCCTCATCCTGTATTACAACTCTTCAACCTTTTGCCCTCCCCATCACAGCACTACATCCCTTCACATTACTCCCTCTTCCTCAAGTCCTCTCCACTCTACAATTCCCACCTCTTCAACTTTTTTGAGTACTCTGTTTGGCCCAGCCAGTTTTTTTTTATTTCCCCTACAACCTCATACTCTGACAATACCCTACATTTCCAACAATTCCTCTAAAAACAAGTAGGAAAAGTCGCGTTTTGCAGCGGTCCTGATCGTTTACGCCTTGTCACCATTACATCCAAGTCCCAAGCCTATCCACTATCTTCCCTGGTTGACCTCACTGGTAAGCCTATTCCTACACAACCACACTCCTGTAATACTTGTACCGGAACTGTTTCCATTCTGTCTACAAGGATGGGTCTGACTCTGAAGACTTGCCTGCCCTACTGACCATGATGCAATATTAGTACAGTGGTAAATTATTCCTCTTGCAGGGCGCTGTAAGTCCCATGCCAATATTGCCAAGATTACCTTCCTTAGACGGCTTTCCTCCCCATAAGGGGCATATCCATGGAGAATCTTACCATGTCAGACCATATCGACCTCCCCCCCCTCTGTCAATGTCAGAAATGTCACTCCACAGCTCGGTGCCCTCAATGTGCCTATCCAGGTTATGATTGTTCAAATTCCCCTGCTCAATCGCGTACATGTGCCAAGTACAGTGGCACATTTAAACGAATTGCTCTGCCAACAAGTTTGAATCTGAGGTAGCAGTTCTCAAATACAAACTTGGCCCTACTCTACGAGAGGCCAGACAAGAAGCACATCGACGAGGTTTTTCTATCACTCCCTATTCCAGTACTATCCATCGCTCTACTCTTCTCCCCTCTACCCAAACCATCTCTATATCTTCCACAGTACCTTTTCCTTCTCCCCAATCCCCTGCCCGTTGCTGTCGTAGGGGGGGGGGGCTTAGGAAACGAAGATTGAGACCCAATACAGGGATCTCCCCTGCCTATGGCCCTCGACTCAACTAATTTTGCATGGCCTTTCCCCCCTCCAGCTATTTGTTTCCGTCCCTTCACCAACCTCTTCTACTATCTACTTCCTAAGGTGTAAGAGCCGTGCTGAGAGGATGAAAGGCTGACCTTGTGCCAGTCCTGGACGGCTTGCGGGAACTATGGGCACGGTACTCCCGATTTAATTGTCTAGCCCTTACCCTCACGTGCATGAGGGTGGACCGTTTATGCCGTTTTATATAATCCAGGTTCCCCATGACCAGTAATGATGATGCAATCCCCTTGTTAGGGGCAATGAGGCTTGCCCCTTTATCAAATAGCCCCACCCCAGGCTCTCCTTTGACCACGACTCCGAACACTGAAACTACTACCCACTCCTCAATGCCTACTAGTGCATTACCCACCCAAGCAGAGACTCAATCTCCAGAAGACATTCCTACCCTCCCAACTTCCTCAAATTCATCAACTCTAGCCCCGCAACCTTCATCAAGCACCCCATCCTCCTTTATTACTACCTTACAGCCTTATTCTCCATCATTCCGTAATACTCCCTCTTCCACACGTCCCCGACCATCCACCACCACCAACCCTACAAATATCTTAAATACTCTGTTTAGCCCAGCTAAATGGGACCGATTTATCGTGATACCTTCTACAGCTCCTTATTCAGGCAACACTCTTCTCTTTCAACAAAGCCTCCAAAAACCAGACACGATCGCTCCCGTCTTGTAACAGTCAGATCAGAAACTGAATCTATAGCACTATCAAATTTAACTGATCATTCTGGCAGCCCCATTCCTGCAGAACCTCATCCAACCCTTAATACTTGTACCGGAACTGTCTCTCTCACCTCAGCAAACTGCTCAGTCGATACCAAAATCTGGTCAGACTGTGGAGAAGACATTAGGATGCCTCAAAGACCAAGATGTGAAATCAGTACATTGTTACACCATTCCTCCTAGAGGTCAACGAAAGAATCCGACCAACATTGCCAAAATTACCTTCCGTATACATGACCTTCCCTTACGTATCTACATTGGTGGACGATCCCTCCCTGCTCGACCATACCAACCCCCTCCCCGTCAATGTCAAAACTGTTGGCGCTTTGGGCATCCTGCCAAACATTGCCGTTCCACAGACCGATGCCCCATATGTGCCCAACCTGGTCATAACCAATCAAACTGCTCAGCACAACACGTGCATG